CATCATTTGAAGACTTGGGATAAGGTCCTTTACATGCAGTTTACCTTCAATTGCACTTTCCATAAGTCAACATCAATTACCTTTTAGTTATGCTTGGCATTTTTTTGTCACAGTACCCATTTTAACTTGGAGTTTTTAATTGGAACTACAAAGGACAGTGATTTTCAAGTGCAATACGTGCGGCTAGCTCAATGATTTAAGAAAGAAGATGGTAGAAAACCAAAAGAAATTGCCATGACATGCATATGATTGAGTGAGCATTCCAAGATTGTGATTTGGTTTGTTTGCACTTGGGGAATGATTGAATAAAAGGTAAAAGATAAAAGATTAAGTCTATTTGCAATGGTTGTTTTTCATAGCAGAAGATTGGTGATAATGCATTTTGGTAAGAATTTTCTTTATATATGAAGATCTATTTTGTTATTGCTTAAAAACATAAGTTAGGTGTACTATTCTTTTCTTTTTTCAATAAGTAGATGGGGTACATAATTTTTAAAGGATACATGGGCCAATTAGAGGGCCTAGAATATAAAGCTACAACCACGCATAAGGAAAATAATTGAAAACAGAAGTGATCACAAGTGTAGGGAGTTATATATATGATATCAATCCTCTTTACATGGAAAAAAATTACTAGGAGAATATAGGAAGTCATGAATTTTGAGTTAACCATGTGGTGAGATCTTGTTTGAATGGATATTATTGAACCAACAATTGAGGATCTTTGATTGGCATTATGGAATACAAATTGATTACTAGAATGAGCCTTCTTTAAATTTGCATGATTGTTGTTCGCCTTTTTAATGGTTTATGATTAATTTTTTGTTGCATTGACTCCTTTCCAATTAGCAGAAGGTTGTTGTCTGCTAAATTGTAGGAATTCACTATTGCTTTTTGATTTACTGGAATTATGTCCACATCTTTGAATGCGTTTAGGATTTCCACTCTCCCCGCAACTTTAGAATATATGTTGATCAATCGCATCTTAGAAATACAAGTATTGAATTTATTTTATTAAGGGTCTTATCAAGGATATCAACAATTTAATGTCTTGATGGAGTGAACTAATTTTAATAATTTTTTTTTTTCAATTCTCTCCTTGTGTTTATTAATCTCGATGTGCCAGGTCATATTATGTTGAATAAGTTTTTTAGTAATGCTTGTAAAAGGTTGACTGTTACGCATCATTATCGTCAACCTTATAGTGAGAATTTTTAAATATAGGAGATTTCTTCACAAATTTTATGGGTCAGGTCCCTGAAATATGCTTTAGTATTGCTTTGAGCATCAACATATTATTATTTTCTTCTTCATCGGACTATATTTTCTCATGGAAATGGTCAATAATTAGATGTGGATTAGCGAACAATTATAGAACCAACCTAGTTAGCATTTGTGAAAAATGTGAAAAATTTTATACTTGGATACTTGGATTTTTTTTTTTTTACTTTTATTTTTGAGAAATTCTTGTTTTAGGTGTCTTCTTTTGATACCTTAGGATCCTATTTTCATAATTTATTTTCCCTTTGTAGGGTTACATGAACTAACTACGTTAATAAGATAATGAATATTAGAACTAGTGCGGGTTAGGTATATAAGTTTTCCTACTATTTGTTATTACCTCTTTTTCTCAAAATGAGGTTGATTTTTTTAATTTCAAATTGTTTAAATGATCTATTGACGTATTTGCAGGCTGAAATCATAGAATGTAATTTTCTTTAATAAGTCTTAAGGTATGTTTCGCTTGAGAGAAGTTTATATCCTTGATTTTACTATTTTTAAGCCTATGAAATTTCTTAATAGACAGAGATCATTGATTTTAATCTCTAAGACTTTATTTTTTAGCCTATTAATTTCTTCATGATTCTCTGTAAAGATTACAACCATCAACGTATGCAATCAATATATAAAATTTAACTTTAGATGATATATTGGAAAACAAGATGTGGTCATATTATATTATCTTTGAAAGTACTTATAACCATGCTCTTGATGATTGTTTAAAGCCATATAAAGATTACTTAATTCCGCAAACTTGGTTCATTTTGTTAGCCTTCTCAAATTTAGGAGGAATTATAATATAAGCTTTATTTCTGAGTTCCCATATAAAATACATTTTTTTTACATTTTATAGATGAAGTTATCAGTTTAAATTAACAGCAAGAGAAAAAAATTATCTGAATAATGTTCATTTTATTAATTGGTGTTAAAGTTTCTAAATATCAATTCCATATTTGAGTGAAACTTTATGCAAATAATGCTGCTCCAACGCTCATTGAAAATTCATTTGTGTTCAAAAGGCTTCTCCGTTTGGAAGGCTTTAAGAGTTTCTATGTATTGTTTCTTTCTAGACCCTATATTTCTCTATGATTGCATTTTTTTTCCATTGAAGTATCTTTAAGGCTTGCCGAATATCATTTAGAATTTTCATGCAAGATAGATTCATAGTGAAGGCATGAAACTTAGGATATAATTTATTTAAGTAAATATAATGGCTGATAGAGTGATTGATGTGATTTCCTTAACATCTTTCTTGAAATCAAAAGGAATATTTTGATCTTTCTCAGGGTTGGTATTGTCATGTTAAGTGGTGTTAGAACTTGAGTCAGCATTGGTCCGGTAAAGAGAACTGCATTGTTCCACCTTTTCAATTGAATTATCTTGTCATCTAGAACAAACAATCTTGCTGCACCTTGCTCATTGTGTGTGGTCTTTGAAGCTTTGAGATATTCAAAAGAATGAGATTCAGTTATGTTTGGAATAGGTGATTGTTAAGATAGATTATGACCACCTATCTTGATAAGGCCACGAAGCTTTTTCCTTTTAATAAGGATTGGTTTTCGAAATGTTCACATTTATTGTGATGAAGTAGTTTTAATTTTCTGAGAGAATGTTACTTGTACTCTTCTTGGTGAGGAGAGTAGCTAATAAATATGCATTTTATAGCTTTTGAGTCAAGTTATTTTTTTTTCATGATGAAAATTATGCATAAAACTAGAGAAGCCAAATAATTTATGGGATGGAGATGAGTTATTTTTTGGGATAGGCTTGGAGAGTGTGACGAAAGAGTTTTAAATTTTAGAATTCTTATTGGCATATGATTGATAATATATTTAACACTAAGGATAGCCTTTTATAGTTGTGTTTTGGGATATTCATAGTGATTCAAATTGATTAAACAATTTCCCAAAGATGTCTATTTTGGTTTTTTGTTTTCCATTTTGTTAAGCAGTTTGAATCGAAGAACTTTGGTGACAATATGTTTGTTGATGTGTATAATTTCAAAATAGATTGAAAATATTCCATCCATTGTTAAAAAAATTTAATTTGGGTTTTAAATTGGGTTTGCATAAAAGAGTGGAATTTTATGAAATATTAATAGGTTTTAGAGTCATCTTTCATTAGAAAGATCCATGTGATTCTAGGATGATCATCAATAAATGATATGGCCTACTTAGCCCACATGGTATTGTTTACAAAAGATGATCCTTAAAGTCTACGAAAGATAACAATAGTGTTTTGAAGGATGACTAGGTTAAGGATTCTAAGACTGTTTAGATATATGGAAAGTACTACATTAGAATGCTTAAGGATTTAAATTGATGAATAGAGAGGGGGACAATTTTTTAAGGTATATGAAATTGCCAAGGCAAATGAATGACGACATTATCATACTTTCATTAGAGGATGAGCATATTTCACTTATATTTTGGAATTTTCTCAACACTCAGGAGGTAAAAGACCTGCATCTTTTTGAGCATTGCCAATTATTTTCGAGATTATATCCTATAATTCATAATGAGTATGAATAAAATTAGTAACATAATTCATACCTCTGGTAATTCTCTAAATTAAAGGATGGGCACATTTGACTATCTTTTTGGATAAATGACCATTATGCCCCTGCATAGTAATATTGTACACTCAAAGATTCCCACTCAAATATCAAAGCCGAAAAAATAACAACGAAAATTCTCAAATTTTCAAATTCACAAATTCAAAGTTTCTCATAGACAAATTATGAAATTCTCTGAGCGAACCACCAAACAAGCAACATTCACGTTGCTATTCACAGTTGCAGAAAACAAAACCATTCACAGTTGCAGAAAATTGAACCAGCAGTTGACCCCCCCACCCCCCTAATTAGGCCTCTTCTTATGAAATTTTCACTCAAATCCAACACCAAATTCCAACTCAAACATCAAAACCAAAGCATTAGCAGCCGCCACCGCCCCAATTTTGAATGTAAAAATCTCAAAGAAGCTCAAAATCTTGAAATATCGATGCTATGCAATAAACACAAGAAACCCATTAAGAAAATTTACCAAGAAGTTCAGTACAGATCTATACGGCTGATAGAACGAATCCCACTAATAAGAGATTAAGGATAGAGGATACCGGAAGAAGAAGCAAACGTTGGGAAACCCTCGTCACAGGTCTCAGGGAACGAAGAGAAAGAAAACGAGAACAAACTGTAATGAGCCAAGAAAATGCGGAACGAGGATGAGCAGGGCACAGGAGAAAATGCGAGAGCTCCGGAGCGGGTTAGGCAGAAGACGCGAAGCCAGGGTAGAAGAATATCGCAAAGCCGGGGATAGCTAAGTAATAATATCGCTAAGAAACGTGGGCAGCTGGGTTACCGCTGCCCCACCCCCCAACAAATTGAAATGCCCTTTTAATAGAATATGTTTTATTGCCCCACATGGATGATGATATGTTCATATCAAATAATCAAGTAAAACAAATAAAAGAGAAATGTTCTTACTGTGTTATAAGATATCACTATTCCTGGCTTTAAATTTCTGCTTTTATTGGAAGTCATGATTTTTTTGACTTGTATGTTTTGGATTCAGCGCATCCCCTGTAGTCCCTTCCCTTGTGCTGCTGTTTCTGTCATTGTGGTGACCTGATTCATTTTTGTTCAATGGTTTCAGTATGTACTGAATAATCTCCACTTGTTAACTATGAAGTAATATTTTGGTGGTTTTTTTTTTTTTCAGATCTCCGTGATGACCCGCAGTTCTTTATTGACCACCCAGGTGCTGTGCCTATCAGTACTGTTCAGGTAAGATGAATTAGGATGCAAAAAAAATGAGATTTCAATTCAATTCTTGAGTCACTTTTAATGTATTTTAATATTTTTAAAGGGAGAAGAGTTGAGAAAGCAAATAGGTGCTTCTTCTTACGTAGAGTGCAGCTCAAAAACACAGCAGGTATGCCTTCAATGAACAACCCTTGCATGCTTGCCATTTAAAACCAGAGGGCTAAAACTTTATTTTTTTTGTGATCATTTTTGTGTCATAGAATATCAAAGCAGTATTTGACGCTGCCATCAAAGTTGTTCTGCAGCCACCCAAGCAAAAGAAAAAGAAGAAGAGGAAGGCACAAAAATCTTGCTCCATTTTGTGAAGAAGAGTGCATGAAATGATGATCATGCACATTTGTTATGCAATCTTTAAGTTTCTGTTTGGATTGAAGCTCTTCCTGTATATTTAACTGACATCAACGACAACAGAAGATTTCCGACGAGTCAAAAAAAGAAAAAAAGTCATCATGTATTTTCATATAACTTTCTGCTGTATTAATGTTCTTAACCAGATATTTGTCTTGACCTAGACATCAGACGACTGAGCCCTCATCCATAAACATTGGATGTGTGCTGCCATCTGAAGCTATTTTTCTACTTATCAAACATGCTATATTCCTATTTTGTAATTCTATTTAGAATTATCTAGTGAGTTTTTATTTTTTTCTGAGCAGGTATTTGTTGATTTTCTTTCATTTTTTATCACCTAAACTAGATTTTTGGTTATCAGCATCAACGTGTAAATTGAATATCAGACTTTAATGAAAACTAAATTAGTCTTGATTTGAAATTGGGCGATTGCAAATGATACGGCAGAGATAAGCGGTTGCTTAAATGCAAGTGTGAATGTGTTGGATGGGAGTACCCGCAAACCTTAGAATGCAACAGACAAATCAAGTGATTTTTTCCTCGACTGAATTAAATAAGTAATGCTGGTTTGTTTAATTACCATTTAAAAACTTGATTTTTATTTTTTTAATTTATAAAAAGATAATTTTGCTCTCTTGATGATAGGGATTTTAATAATCATTATTCTTATTGTTTATTAACAATTTCGCTCATAAAAATATTTTTTTTTTGCAATTAATTTTCTAAAATTAAACTTTTAACTTTGAATCTATTTATATATCCAGCCGAATATCTGAACCTATATCGTTCATGTGTTCCTCCCAAAACAACTCAAGATGGCACATTTCACCTTATAGGTGTCCTGATAAGTTAATCAAGCAGTACAATAAATCTAATTAGCCTAGACCAAACATAGCTCAACTGAACTTAGTTATTTCATTTTATTATTTAGCTTGACTACCTTAGCTAAGTTTTCATATTAGCTATTTTAAGCTATACTTGGGAAGTCTAATGGGTGCACCTAACTCTATGTTGACTTAGGTTAACCTATCTTAACCCAATGAAAATCTAAAGGTCACATAGCTTATATCACCTAGCCAAAACTTAAATAAATCTTACCAAGTTTAGGTTCGACACCTATCCTATTAGGCTAACAAAGCCAAAACTAGGTCATGTTAGCTTAAGATAACTACATAAGTCCATCCATCCAATCTAATGCAATTAAACAAACTTCCCTAAGCTAGTATACATGATCCTAACCTTGTATCTCTAATAACTACGGAAGCTTATGCTTCTCACATTAGATCCCTAGTACACTAGTGGTTCATCAAAAGCTTATATGCTACTAACCTTGGACCTTTAGTAGCTCCATATTAGGTTACAAGTTACATAGTTTAGATCTCTAGTAGTTCTAGCAACTGGTTTAAAGGAATCAAAGATGAGCCATGGGTTGAAGCTCAAGTGAATGAATTCCCTGGAATTGTTCAATCCACCAAGGGCAAGCTTACTCCTCGTCATTGACTCTCATCCATTCCTTGACTTCCTCAGGGGATTCAGGCTACATATAAAAGCCTAATTTACTATAAATTAATTGCCCATTTGATTGAATTATTTCTTTTATGCCATGAAATCAATAAAATTTAATGATTAATAGTTCTCAAAGTCTTTCATAGGTTACATAAACAGTCCATTCATTTTTAAGACATCTTAATTTTTAGAGGCTTCCGTGATAATATCGCGAATTGTCATGTTTAGAAAGTCTAAGAAATTTTAATTCAATTTATCTACATCTGTTTTGATGAGTTTCATAAAATTGTAATTATTTCAAAAGCTAGATTTAAAGGAATTTAATATGGTCAGTAACACAAGTGGGGCTTAGGTAAATACACTTAAAGTTCAGGAAATGGGCTATAATATAGTGAGATAAAAAATATGATTTTTTAATATATATTTGAAAATTTTCATAACTACTCAATTAGTTTTAGTTTACTGAATATGTTATGAAACAAGAATTGATTTTTTAGGAGACTCGTTTTTGCCAACTGAACAATAAATATTTTTTATAACTATTTATAGAGATTTAATTTTGAAAAATTAATACTAAAAACTTGAGCAAGGGAAGGACAATTCTATATTAAAAATCACCAGCAAGACAGATATAAGATAATCCTACAACTCAAAAAAGATTTAGAGTAGGAGGGATGATCAAACCTTGGAGAGATTGCTTCTTGAAATATCTTCAAACAATTTTTCTTACAACAAAAATTCTTATTTCTTCATTCATTAACAATTAAAGCATTTCTGAGTCCTGACAAGAAACTTTCAAAATGCCAAAAGAGAGGAATATGGACAGGGGGAGGATCCACATGTGTGGGTGAGAAAGCGGGTGGATAACTTTCACTTTAAGGAGCAGTGATCAGACACCCTACGTAGAAATTAATTATTTGAATAAAATTTACATCCAATAAATGATTTATATTAATTATAAGTGCATCTTTAATACAATTAATAATTCTAAATTCAAAAATTTTAAGGGTTTGAACTTATAAAATTCAAAACTAGCTGCTATAAATAATCACATTTACAAATTATAATTAAATATAATTTTACAACAAATGTATTTTTCATGATTATGCTTCTCCTCATGATTATTGGATCTTTTTGATCAATTGCATTCTTATTGGATTGAATTGATATGATGGGCCATTTGATCACTTATTTGAGATGTAGCTCCACATCAAATATTCTCCAATTGAAGCATTGAGAGGTATGGTAAAGTTTTAAGAACTTTTCAACCCTGAAATATTAAAATGCTAATTTAGTTTTTTTAGTTATATTTTATTAGTTTATATAATTTTTTTTTAAATTTTTTTAAAATTTTTATATTACTTTCATTTATATTCATTTAATATGATTTATTGAATAGAAAATATATTTATAAAAAATTACCAAGGATTCATTTGCCATTATTTAAAAAAATATGTTTATTTGTTGAGTTTTATAATAATTTTTTTATTAAATATATTAAAAAATTAATTAATTTTTTAAAATGCACAAAATAAGTTTAAGGTGTTTAAGTGTTTATAAAAATAACCAAAATCGTAGTAGCAATCATCATCATCATCATCATCATTAGTTATTGACACTATCATCACGGGTCACTATTATAACCATAAACCATTGTTGCCATCATTGTCAACCATTATTAGTTACTGTTGACACTGTTAAAGACAATCGCACCCAACCCACACTAGTGAATACATTATTATCACAGCTTCGATACCAAATATATTTTTCTTATAAAAATATAAAAAAAAGAAATTAAGTAAAAGATAAAAAAAGGGAAGTGATCTTAAATTGTCCTTAAATTTATTGACTCTATAACTTGTTGGGATATTTATTTAGCATAATCACAACCATCTAGTTTTACTACAATGTCTTATGAATGTGTTTAAATGTTCTATCTCATCTCAAAAGAGTAGAACCTATCGTCTTTGTGTTTGAGTTGAAGTTAGATTTTGCTTTAGCGTATGATTTTGTTATTAATAATACTTTATTCAAGAAAAGAGATGAGCATCTTATTACTTATAAGAGTGGGTCTAATAAAACACAAATTGATTATTTTCTTATAAGAAGATGAGATCGTCGTGATTGTAAAGATTGTAAGGTTATTCCAAGTGAAAATTTAAGTACCCAACATCATTTATTGGTTCTAGATTTTAAGATTAAGAGTTGTAATATAAAGAATACAAGGACTCATCATTGTAGAGTTAGATGGAGAAACTTAAAAGGCACAAATAAAATTATTTTTATGAGTAAAATTCAAGATTTCAAAATTTGGGATATTCATGAAGAAGCAAATTTTATGTAGGATAAAGTAACAAACACTATTAAACAAGTAGCAAAAGATGTGCTTGGAGCATAAAAAAAAGTTTTTATAAATAAAAATAGTTGGTGGTGGAATAATAATGTGCAAGAAAAGATGAAATATAAGAAGTTATGTTATAAAAATATGTTTAAATGTAAAAGCTTAGAGAACTGAGAAAAATATCAAACGGCCCGTAGGTAGTCTAAAAGAACAATCTGTGATGCTAAAAATTATGCTTTTAATGATCTTTATAATAGATTAGATACTAAGGAGGGTGAAAAATATATGTATAAACTAGCCAAACAAAGAGAAAAGAAAAGTAAAGATTTAACTCAAGTAAAATGTATTAAAGATGAAAATCAAAAAGTACTTTTCTTAGAAAAAGATATTCAACAAAGATGGGTGAGTTACTTTGACAAACTTTTTTTAAATGAAGTTTCCGAAAACACAATGGATCTTAATGATCTTAATATAGTTAAAAATAATAATAATATATTTTAATTTTACCGCCGCATTAGCAAAAAAGAAGTTGAAGGGACTTTAAAGAAGACCAAGAGTGAAAACTCAATAGGAACTGATGATATCTCAATTGAAGTGTGATTATTTAGGAGATTTGGGAGTTTCTTAGCTTACTAAACTCATTAATATTATTTTAAAAACTAAAAAGATGCCTGAGGAGTGGAGGAAGAGTATTTTGATCCCCATTTTTAAGAATAAAGGGGATGCACAAGAGTGTGCAAATTATAAAGGAATTAAGTTGATGTGCCATACTTTAAAGTTATGGGAGTGGGTAATTGAACATAAGTTAAGACGCATCACAAAGATTTCTAATAATCAATTTGGATTTATGTCGAGCAGGTCTACTATGGAAGCTATACATCTATTAAGAGGTTTGATGGAGAAGTTCAGAGATAATAAGGAGAAACTACATTTCATTTTTATTGATTTAGAAAAAGCTTACGATAAGGTTCCAAGAGATATCCTTTGGGGAGTTCTCGAGAAGAATGGTGTTGATATGACTTATATTTAAGTCATTAAAGATATGTATACTAGAGTTGTTACTTGGGTTCAAAATGAATGAGGATTTACCAAATATTTCCTAATTTTGTTGGATTACATCAGAGATCGGCTTTAAGCCCATTTCTATTTGCTTTAATTATGGATGGTCTTACTAGACATCTACAGGAGGATGTACCTTGGTGTATGCTTTTTGCTTATGATGTCCTTCTCGTGGATAAAATGAGA